TACAGGTACAAGCACCCAATGATAAATGTAAACGTACTGTATACCTAAAATGTACCAATAAAAGAACTTAAGAAAAAAAAAAAAAGTAACTAAGCTGAAAATAGGAGTTTAGAACAGAGTTTGTTCTCATTTTCCAGTATATCTGTCTTTAAATTTTCACTAAAAAGCTGTCTGATATCCCAGAACTCTGGGAGCTTAAGACAGGAGAATCACAAGTTCAAGTCAAGCCTGGGCAACTTAGCAAGACCCTGTCTCAAAAAGAGTGAATGAATAAATAAATACATGCAGGTAGGCTAGGGATGTAGCTCAGTGTGAAGGCCCTGGGTTCAATCTCTAGTACCTAAAAACTAAAACAAAAACAAAACCAAAAAAATTTGAACAATGACTTTTGAAGCAGTTTACATGTAATCAAATGATAAGCTTTGATTTTAAGTCAGCTTAATGTCTTTTAGTAACTGATTTTAAGCCACAAATTAGTAAACTGAATATTAAGCAGAACAGTATTGACCAGTAATGAACAATCTCGGTCTTCCACCCTCTCTTTCTGGTGTGCAAAGGACACATCTCAGAATAGTTCGTGTTAATTTGCAGGCCATAATTACAAGTGTTTAGACATACACCCTTGGGCAAATCAGCTAACCTCCAAACCTCTCTTATCTATACCGTGGGGATAGTCTATTCTTTCATTATTTTAAAGCACAAACAAGGTGGGGTAAATGAAAGATTAGTTTCTGATATCTAGAAGAGTGCTCAAAAATGCTAGTACCTAAAAAAAAATCTTGTGCAGAGCTGCAGTAGTCAGCTTTGGAACTTTAGACTAGTAGGCAGGGAGGCTGTGGTAGGGTGCTGGAAGAGTGGACTCTCGGCTCACTCCCCCTTTCTCTTGGCTAAATGTGATACACATTTATGGCTCAGAATTTGCTGATTAAATGTTGTAGTAAATTATTTTGTATGCTAAAGATTTTCCTATAATAAAGTACATATATGCACATACATTTTAAATCATTCTGCAAGTTGAGATTCTGTAGTTCTCTTAAATTAAGGGCACATTTTATTGTTTCTTCGTACATCTTAGCAATATGCAGTCCCTATGATTTTTCTTCTAACAAATGCAAGCTAAAGTATATGTTGCAATTACTTTCAGTTTTCCATTTAGATAGTGGCTACTTGGTTCATCCTAGAAAAGAAATTATACTTAGGGAACAATGTCAATTTAAAATTCAAATCATTTGTCATATCAGTAAAATTTAATCAATGATACGCTTAAATGCTTAGAAGTACTACATATCAAAGGTGATGTGCATTACTGATCAAAGAAAGTCCCAGACTTACCTTTAGCAATGTTTAATGATAACTCAAAGCAAAATTAGTTTGCTTCTAGCCTAACTTCATTTTTAGGTTTTGGCCTTCAACTGACTTGAAAAGACTATATACTTATACACATATATACAAACATTTATATATATATTTCTTTATGCTTAAAGGAAGTTAGTATCTAAACATACATTTCTCTACTATTCATCACTTTATCAGGGCAGAAAACTGGCTTTTAAGGCATAATTGTTTTAGGTTTTCAAGTAAGTATTCTTACTCATTAATGAAAAGAACTCAAATCCAGCTAAATTTTGATTATTGGCAATACTAATTTGCTTCTCAAAGGGACATGGCAAAATAGAATTATCACAGCTTTTTCTTATACAATACACTAAGGATTGTTTGGACACAAGTCAAGGTAATTTTTTTTTTTTTTTTTAATAAACAGCGTGATGTTACAGACTGCAAAGTTAAAGAAAAGCAGACATTGACAGTTTTTGATGAGCACAAACAAACAATAAGTGCAGTCACAGGCCAAACTTCTGGCTAGGAAGAGCAAGACTGGGAAGAGGTGTTAAATTTAGTGCTATTATTCTATATTCTAAATATAGTAGCACATGCATCTTGCTGTGTCAAATACTTTTTGGGCCATCATAAAGAGGACATCGAAAACATTTTTTTCCTAACTAATGCATTGTACCACAGGACTTCAATTCATGGAATGAACAGAATATAAAGAAAAAGACTTGCTATAATTAATGGTTCTTAAAAAAAAAGAGTGGGTCGAGCTCCCTGTTGAAGCTTCTAAAGTAAACAATTGATGTGTCAGCAGTCTTTGGGTAGCATTACATTTCCCAGGATATGAAGATGCTAGGTTCCAAAAGGGTATGTTCTTTTGAATTTTATTTAACTAAATTAAGTCTGAAGACTTACACTGAAACCATTAGCTGCATATAAAATATGAGTTCCAGCCAAAAAGATTTCTAGATATCTGATAAATACCAAGTTCTCCAACCACTCTTAGGACATAAATTAAATCTGGTAAGGAACTTTTAAAAAAAATGAAATCAATAGGTGATGACCACACTTTGAAATTCATTCAAGAATTAAGGAGTTTAGTCGTATTAAAGATATTTTAATGTGAAACACCAAAGGGATTTTATTTCCTTGGTAACCTAGAAAGATCAATAAAAATAAGAATACCTTAAAATGTACATGGTTTTGCTACAAAATTATTGAAGTGACAGATTAAGCAAGGTTGCAGATTAACAGACTCTACTTGGCTTACAAAATGTATTTAAAACCTTTTTCTGTACTTACCAACATGAAGAATGGATTCTCTTGGCAGGGAAAATTCAGTTACACTGAACTATACTATACATACATACACTGGACTAGTTTTACTTCCCCTCCCCACTAAAACTCTTATATGTAGTTGTGTAAAAGTTACAAGTCAGAAGATATCCCTATGTCTCACACCTGCCACTTTCTGCTAACTAGTGTGGCTAGACTATTAACACACCTAAAACTAAGGAAGAGGAATGGTGCTCCACTAATGAAAAGGAAGTGCAAAACCTTAATCAAGTGGAATATTTGGATGAAATAAATAAGTATATTTGAAGACTTAACATTCCAACTTGGGAGATTCCTAATAAATTCTAAACTCTTCTGAATTTTAGAACCTTAGTATTTGTTTACGCATTTTATAAAAAATTCCTCTTGACTGGAGCTTGCAATGTGTGCACAAATAGAGATGTGTGCAGAAACACACAAAATAGTAGAGGAAGAGAACAAAATGGATTTTAAATGCCAAATTTGAGAACCTAATACCATGAATGTCCTCACACTACACTACAGCCTTTTCCAAAGGGCTGTAGCAATGATTAAATTTTAGCCAAAAATTTTTATTAATGTCTCCAGCACCATTAAAAATAAGACATGCCAACTCTGACTTTGCAAATCCAAAATACAGTGCTCGGAAAAATTTCTGTAACGTTAAGAGCCTGAAGTATTGAAGTGTAACTCATCTATTTTTTCTCTCCTAACTTTCTGAGGTACAGCTACCAATTCAATTATATTGGGACCACATTTATCTTGAGTTAATCCTAATAGTCTTTTTAGAGAGTAGAAATAATTTTCATGACAAAAGAAAACCATCTTCCCAGGCCATGACACATAAGATATATGTACAATTTTAATGTATTCATTAAAATGGTTCTGTTTGTACTTTTAAAAACAGCCCAGCTGTACTATCCTTTCACCAAGAATTATTATTTGAAGGTGTGTCAGTACTGAATTATATAGTTCAGCCTTCACAACCTATCCTCGATGAAGAGTTAATTCCTTCATGGTATGCATAATATATTTTCACAACTTCCAGCTTTCTCTTAGACATGCCACCATCTGAGGATGGATATAAAGAATGCAGGTTCAGTCAAACAACTCCTCCCTGTTCTGTGCCCTCCCTTCACACTCCCTTAATCTCAAAACACGTGAAGTATGAAAGTTGACTTTAAATAGAAGCACCACCATCTATTAACACTATATATTGTTTTTAAACTTAATTATTTTAGTGATCCCTTGGACATCAAGATAATTTTTAAAGGTGGACTTCAAGTGTGTGGGTCCAGCCCAGGACTATAGTTTGTGTAGGCACAGAAAAGGAACTTATGATGTCCAGAAAAGGTTAACATAGTAGCTTGAATATACTGCTAGAAATTAAATTTCAAAAGAGTTGGCAAGCATGGGATATTGATCAAAATATGAGTTAATGGATCTACAAAATCATTCTGTAAAGAAACAAATCCAAGTTTATGTGCTATGAAATTTCCATCATGCCTTTGAGATAGCCTTTTCACAATTTTAAAAAATAATGCCAAATCAGTCAGTTTTTGATGGAAAAAGAACACAGATGGACTGTGTTTTACCTATGTGAAAATTAATCCATTTAAAATAAAATCCAAGGGTATACACAATCTAATCAAACCATCATTTCCTGATTAATAAGAACTACACTTTATACAAAATACTTTATCAGCAGCTGTTTTCATCAAAATACCAAAGTCATAGTTTCACAGTTGAAAGTTACACATTAAAATATTTTACAATTCATTATATATTCACCAGTTTCCCATTTCCTAATGGGATTGTAATATAAAGTAGAATAAAGGGAAAACCTCAAAGTTAATTACTGATAGTAAGTTTTACAGAGGACACTAAAAACCAGAAAAAGCTGAGGTTCTATCATAAAATAGCAGCCCAATTTTTCTTCTTTTAAAAAATCCAATTAGAAACATCTTTTTTTAAAAAAAACCCAAATTCCACAATATGAATAGATTTTAAATTAACAGCAGTCTAAAAATACTCAAAATAAATGTTTTCATATAGCTGAGCATATGTTAAAAAGTGTGATTTTTAAACAGTTGACTATTTCTTGTTACACTGTATTTAAAGCTAGGCTTTTTTCTTTAGATGTGATTTTTCCCTCCAAACTAATTACTGAAGGAGTATTTCTCAAGTAATGAGACTGTGGAGCCAACAGTCAATTACATCATGGTTGATGACAAACATGGTCAGCTGTGGCACTGACCCCTGATACTCAAGTACCTGGAAGCGGCTGTATCATCACAGACCTGAAACAGATCTGTCACCCTGTGTAGCTTTCCATTCCACTTTTGGCCTTTGCCTTTCTGAACATTAACTGTCCTCCTTTGTTTCCTAGATCACTTAATCTATATTCTTTACAGAATTTATCTATACTTCTTCAAATTGAATTAATTTGGTTGTAATAACTTAAAAATAAATGTATGTAATGAAATAAGCTATGTGGCTTGTGTGTTTTAATGGCAAAGAGGTCTTGGGAAATAGGAAGTGGGCAACTACCTGCATTAATGTGAAAAAAAAAATGCAAAAATTGAACAGATTTTGTGCAAGGAGGCTCAAGGCTTTCTTGGCACTTGAGTAAAACACAGTTCTCTGTTACTTCTTCAGTTTTCCCCATCAAAGTTTTGGATTTGTACCATTTCACTGAGTTTTCTTATAATCAATCCCTGATACAGAAAAGGCTGCGATGTTAGTATGTATCAACTGCATATATCTATATAACACAAAATGTTGTTTAAATAATGAAATCTCTATTTGCAGAATCTATCTGCTTTCCAACTTAAAACAGATTAAATTCTGCATAAATATTTCAGACAATTTACAGAAATAAGTTCCCCTAATCTTCAAATTTATTTTTCATGTTGGCATTATATACATGCTTTAGTGAAGTACCTAAATCTTCGTTAATTATGCCCTTTAAGGGTTCTAAAATAGCCAGATATTAAGAGTATTTGCATTAGAGTCCCTTGTTCACTATTTAAGACTTCTATAGGTATCTGATTTTGTAGATGAATATTTTAAAGTGATGCTGTTTTACTAGATTATACAATGTGCACTCTTTATAAAGTTGTTCTCCAATAATATGCCTAATCTAGAAACTGTCAGTAAATTATTGCACTTTTTTTGTTTTGGTGTGGCACCTGGGAATTTGCTAAAACTATTTCCTAGAACATTAGTCATTCATTTAAAAAACTGAATAAAATATCAGATCCTAGAATGATGACTAGCATTAGTTCCTACATTTTGGAAGAATATTTTTCAAAATGTTTGAGAATGTGTTCTGTGCTCAAATGGGATTTAATGAAGTTGGAATGAGACCTGACCACTTAGGAAATGGGATATCATCTGCAATTGATTTCATGTCCTACTTTTAATTTGAAATATGGATAAATAGCTTTGAAAAGTAAAAACTTCACGGTTTCTATTCCCTAATATTATAAAGTACTATTCATGAGCAGATCTCAGTAGAGGGGTTTAAGCAGTCAGGATGATAGTCTAAACTGTGTTAATTTGGTAACTAATTTCACATGATTGAGTCATTCCAACTAAAAAAGGATGGAAGATGAGGGCATCATGTGAAAATAGAAAGGAAAGGAAAGAGGATGAAGTTCAATCTGCTTTCCTTAAGTAGTTATACACTGCGTACTGGAGTAAATGGGATAGTGCTTGAGCCTCATCTCTAGACCAAGAGGAAAGCGAATCATGCTGCTACAAACAATAAAAAATTTGGGGTGCAAAACAATGCATGACTATGGGACAGATTATGTAAATAAAGAATATATATTAATGATAGTTTCTATAATATAAATAGCTTTTAATAAAAAAAATAATCTTTTTAATAACATTAACACTCCTATTTTCTGGAAAACATGCATGAAAAAATGTATTCAATTCAAATGCAAAAGGAGAAAAAAATCAACTTATGGTGAATACTGTACAATTCTGGAACAAGAACTATTCCTGCTCATTCTTTTTTCTAAGATGATTATTTTAGTTTGTGGGAGCCCAGAATTTCCCTAGGAAATAAGAGTCAGATCTTGTCAATACTGTCAGAAAACAATAATAGCAACAAACCAACAACAAAAAAAATCCAACAAAACACCATGTTATAACAGGTCTCATTTGTGACTCCTTCTAAAATCTGCAGATAAGACCTTTCAAATAATCAAAAGATTTGATTTATTAAAAAGAAAAAGTCTCTGGTGAAATCTCAAGAGTCCCTTCCACCCCAAGCATTTTTCTTCATTAAACAAGGAGTCAAAAAACCCACTTCAAACTATAAATTGAACAGCAATGGGAAAATAAAAAGTTTTCATTCTTTTCCAATCTTATGTAATTTAACATAAACTCCAGTTTACTTGGACCTAATGCAGTAACAGCCTCGTTGTATCCACATTTCAAAACAGAACATTTGCAGGACATACAGAACATCATTCTGTTTTCTTTTCCATCATTTCTATATGTTTTGGGGGTTTTTGTTTTGTTTTGTTTTTTAAAAAAAGATACAAACAATCTTCAAAGTTTACCTTTTTTTGGACTTAAGGCATAACATGAAATTGCGCATTATTCTAAAGCTTAACTTTGAAATGAACTAGTTTAGTGCTGTCAAACCCTGTTTGCGTTTACATTATTTAAATTATGTAGTATTTTATTTCTGTTTCTTGCTGTAAGTTCTAATGCTGCTCGTGGATTGTGCAATTCCTATGCAATCAGTCTTTGCCTGCTGTCAGTTATTAACAGTGCAGTGAAGAATCCAGATATTGAGCTTTCAGTTTCTCACTTCTCATTTCAGTTCAATGCATGCTGCTTAATTGTGTGGAAGATCCAATCCATTTTTGTTGTCCAGCCTCCATGATGTGCATCATTCATTTGTTTCATGAAATATTCCAAAGCCTCTTGCTCAGTTTTATCTAAGGCTAGGGTCTTTCGAATATATGCAATGTCATCAAAAGATTGTAGTTCTGGCATTCCAGAGCCAAGCATCATTGAGAAAAGGTTTATGAAGAGATTGGCATGCTGCCGAATAGCTAGATATGCCTTGTAACACATCTCCTGAAACCTACAAGTAGCAAGAACAGTTTGGTCAGTATGGAGCAAATGGCACTGACACCTTCAGGTCTCTGCTTGAATGTCACATAATAGAGAGGCTTACTTGAACAAAGCTATAAAAAAGTAGCACTACTCTCCCCATTTCCCTGGCCAACACTTCTCTATTTCCTTTACTTCTCCCGAATGCAAGCTCCATTAAAAAACTTTTGTTTATTGCTTTCTCACAAGCACATGCCTGACACATCAGGAATTTTATATGGCTTGGTCCATATAAGCCTTTAGGGCTTCAGCTACAGTCAGAAGACTGAGTTGTAAGATAGAACAGAATTTTATAAAAATACTTCAAGGTCTAAGATTCACGATGTATTGTAATGTAGTAAGAAAAATTATGAATAAGCATGGTAATTACAGTTGGTTTCCTTTCTTTAAGTTAAATGACTAAAAAATGTTGTTTTAAGCACTGTATATTTGCCAAAATACAGAAGGCAGAGTCTAATCATCTAAAGAGCAGTAAATAAAAAACTTTTTCATGTGTTATTAAGTTTAAGAACTACTTTGTAGGCCTCAATTATTAACTGAATAATTAGTTTTTATTTCCATTTTCCTTAAAATAATTAAAAATAAAAACACTAAAACATTCAGTTTTTGCTAAATAACATCTATTATTTTAAACTACTTGAAAAATATCAATTGTTTCTGACATTACAGCAAAAATTCTTTATTTTGTATTTTGTTTTCTTGAGCTTACCTTTCAAATTCTCTCGTCTTTGTACATTCTTGGGCCCCTTTACTTATCACTATTAAGAAATCTTGTGTCAAAACAAATGGGACACGTTCTCGTTTATAACCAAATTTTTTCTTCTTGTGATCCAAAAAGTGTCCAAAATCTATATGAAATAGCTTTTAAAAATAAGAAATTATATTATAGCTTGATACATGCAGACATAAAACACTTTGAATTAATAAATTTAAGAACACCAAAACATTTTAAAAAGAAAAAGCCATTACTTGTCCATCATCTTTAACCATGATGTTACTATTGTGACGGTCTCCAATTCCCAAAATGAAGGTAGCCACGCAATATCCAGCACATGAACGTGTAAAGAGGTCAATGGCTGCATCATATCTACAGTGAAGAAATGAACACCTCATCAGTAGTGTGCAAATACAGTAATCTAGGCCAAACTGGGAAAAGATGGTTGAAGTTTCTATTAAAACAATGAAAATAATTACAACAGGGAAGGAAGTAATTATGTCCAAATATCTGAGGAATTCTGAGATTCTTAAGTTTTTAAGGGTTTCTAAGGAAATTTCTAGATATTCCTTGATCAAACCACAATTTTTATAGTGGAAAAATACTTCGATCATTAAAATTAATTTTTTTTTTCAGTTGGGTGCACACCTGTAATCCCAGCACTCTGGGAGGCTGCGGTAGGAGGATCTTAAGTTCAAGCCCAGCCTGGGCAAATTAGTGACTTAGAAAGACCTTATTTCAAAATAAAAAAATAAAAACGGGCTGAGAAGTAACTCATTGGGAAGGTTCTGGGTTCCATCTTCAGTACTGCAAAGAAATCTAATCATTTTACTGATGAATTAAAAGTAAAAGTTTGAATGTAAATTTTTTTTTAAAAATTAGCTATAAGAACATTTTATATATATAAGTTGAATGTACAGAATTTTATCAAATTTAAGCAATTCTGATCATTTAAATAACCACAAACATTTCAAAAGTTGAGCATATTTTTTTTCCAAAGTGAGTACAATTACTTTTTCTAGTTTAACTAGAGGAATGTATTCAACTGCCATTTGATTCATCTAGCCAAGTTATAGGAAGAAAGACTAACAAACTCACATTTCTCCTTTGTTCTTGTCTTTGAGCCACTGATGCAGTGTGTGGCTATTGAACTGCAGTGCACCTTTCAGGCCCCCTTTGCACTGAATCTGCATGATAGTGTGAGAATTTCTCACCACCTCAATAAGTCCCACGCAGTCACCAATTGAGAGACAACCGTAAGGCAGCATTCTGAAAAAAGGAGCAACACATTTACAGTGGTGGAATTTTAAAACACTAAATTTTTTAATAGGCCAAAACATGAATATTCTATTTGTAAATCTGTCATGTTTGACCTTTACTGTATTAGGTTAATTTTCTTTTCTATAATGTGACAAACATATCCTTAGAAAAATCCTCAAAATTATCTACCATCAATTATTATAACTTTCAATTGTATGTCTGAAAAGCATTAAGAAAATTACAGCAATAAAAATATAAACCTATATGACTAAAAATATGGGTGAATTTAAAGATGTTTAATTGACATCTGAATAAAACTTTAGGGCAGTAGTTCTTACATTTTTGGTCTCAGAACTTTTATGAAAATTACTAAGATCCCAAAAAAGCTTTTATTTATAAGGATCACATCTATTGATATTAGAAATTAAAACAAAGAAAATAAAGATTAAACATTTAATGCATTTAAAATAAGCCACTGTATGCTAAAATAAATAGCATCTTTTATGCCACAAAAACCTGTATTACAAACCATTTAGTGAGAATGATTCACATTTTTTCAAAAATTTCTATTGTTTAGTTTTATAGCCAGCTGGATTTTCCTATTTTGTAACCAATCTTTACTTTCATTGTACCACAATAAAAAGTCACAACTATTAATTTTATCATCAGTTTCATCAGAAAAGTCTTTACATCTTTAAGTTCAGTGGCAAATACAAGTCTTTCAAAATTCTAAGTTTTGCTGGAAAGCTCAAATTTTATTGTTGGCAACAAATACTGTCACAGTTGTTTTCCTTGAAGAGACTGGGTTTTTTTCAAAAAATTGTCTGCCAAATACCCATGTGTGAATAACTATAGCTTGTCTGTTATTATTTATTAAAATAAAAATGGTATTCCATAAAAAAGTAGGTAGTTTTGCTCATAACTCAGAGAATCCCATAAATACTTTTCCTCAACATAACCATCATATTGTAGAATATAGCAGAAGTGCTTTTCAGGGTACTTCCTATTTTTATTACATCAAATATTAAATTATAAAAATTAAATAGTACATGTAGTCAAGGATAGACATGAAGACTTACTATGACAATTAAAAAAAGCATCCAAATTGCACCTAAGTACTCAAAAATATGGTTTTTCATCCTTTGTTGTTCTCACACTATTGTCCATTCTTTCTACCTTGTTTTTACTTACATTCCTAAAAGAGTATATATTTATTTTCATTTTCTCTTTAATTTCCTATAACCTACCTTCTATGCCTACTATTCTACTGTAAACTCTTTTTAGACTTTTTTTTTTTTCCTTTGGATACCAGGGATCGAACTCAGGACCTTGCCCTTGCGAGGCAAGCACTGGAACCACTGAGCTAAATCCCCAGCCCCTGTAAACTCTTTTTAAAGCTAACTATGAGTCATCACAGCCCTTACTTTTTGAAATTTTCTGGAGCACCAGGCATTACAAATTGTTTGTGAATCTCTCCCCCTTTTTTGGGTTCTATGAAATCACTTACTCTGGGCTTCTTAACCCTTTGACCATTTTTTCTGACACAAGTTTTTCCTGATCTGCCCTGGGAAATACAGACATTTCTTAAGGTTGCATTCCAGCTCAATCTCTCTTATTTCATCTTATTTTACTCCTGTTGAACATGCTCATAAAAAGCAAGCAGTTATAATTAACCTATATCTGAATTACATTTTTGCCAGGGATAAATAAAAATGCTGATATGATTTTATTGAAATTAAGTGCTTTTTAGTTAAATTGAAACTAAATTTACTTAAAATACTTTAAGACTGATACAGCCAATGAGCTTGCTCATTTTTTTTGTGTGCAGTCTCTAATTTACAATTAAGTATTGCAATTACCAGAGTTACTTAGTTAAATCCTTTACTCTCTAGTTCTGAAATCTATTTTACATGCTACTCCTCTGGAAGTGGTGGTGCTAGTGGGATGTGGGTCTTTCATGACACTGAAAGTACTATGAAAAAAGGGAAACACTATCTTTGCAAAGTGGCAGAGATGAAGCAATGACTCAGGAGTTAAGAATTTGAAACTGATGACTTCATTTTGTGCCCTTCATTACTCGAAATATCCATTTTCTTTGTAATAAAAGGGTAGTACCTTATGTGTCACTGAATCTTTTCTATATACTAGCTATTCTTAACCTTTTATAAGGCATACAGGTAAGCATGTGTCTGGTATCACTTGCTATTTCTACCTATTTTACCTTCTTGCTGCAGGTGGACTTTACTCATGCCCACTTACAGACACAGTACTTTCAGAAAAGAGTTATAGATTTGAAAGAGTTAAGTCAGAGAGAGAAAAACTATTAGAAGTGACAACTACTAGTAAGATGAAGCTAACAGAAAATTTGGGAGATATACTGATTACTGTGGAAAGCTGGACAGAAACAAGCAAACTGGTAATAATTTCAGTTGGTTTCATAAATTCTGCTGCAAAATTCATTCAAGATTAGAGGATTGATAAAGCTTTAGAATCAGAAAATTTCTGTTACAAGACTTGCTTTTAAACTTTTTCTGAATTAAAAAAAGGGCTTTGTGACACTGAAAAAAAAGTGTCTCCTATGTCCTTTTCCTAATGGTGACACTCCAGAGGCAACTGCAGTCTTCCATAGTGGATTAGAGACACTTCTCACTTAGCTCAAACCTCAATAGCTAGTCTATGCCAAGTAAGAGGACAAATGAAAGGTCTCATTTTGTAATAAACTGTTAATTATTACTACATACATTTCTTTATAGATCCATGCCTCTATATGCTACTATAAATAATATTTATTAATAGCTTTATTTCAGTATAACTGTCCACATACAGGTTGCTTTATTGATTACCTACCGAAGATCAAGACCTTGATTTTGCCAGATATTTTCCATAATGCGAATAATTTGAAGCGTTAGCATATCTTGGCGTAAATCTGAAATTCAAATAATATGCATCAGCACTTAACACCATCAATACAAACGAGAGGATCAAGCCATCACATTGTTTTCAAATGGGAAAGAAATAGAGCTACATTTACTCTTCAAAATAATACATAAGACATCAATATTTTGATTCTTTATCTCACTTCTAAAGTACTGGCAAAACTTATGTGTGTAAAAAATGAGTACATAGGCATACTTAAAAGTATTTATTCTGCTGAACCTTTAAATTTGAACATGTTTATGTTAAAGTACTGGGATCAATGGAATTCACTGCTGAGTTGTCATTTCCTAATAGAAACCCGTTGGTGATCTTTCCCTATCCCCCTATAGCCTATGCTCCACATAAATTAGAACCCTTTTTTATATGCTTCCTTAGGAGACTACACTTTTTCTTTGCACCATGAATGTAATTTTATTTTTTAAATTAATTTGTTTAATGTCCTTCTTTTCCCTATTAGAATGTAAGCTTCAAGAAAGCAGGGATTCTGTTTTGTTTATTGCTGGAAACCAGGACCTAGCACATAGAATATTTAAAGACTGGATACTCACACTACTCACGTAAATGATAGTTAAGCAAATAACAGAAACTAATTTCAGGACTTTGGATTTGGGCGTTCAGGAAATGCCATCTCAACCAGTGAAGATCAACTGAAGATTGTACAAGACCTAGAAAGACTAAATCACTTGTTCTGAGGGCTGCTCTGAGACAGCTTTTATATTGTGAGAGATATTTTTTAAACTGCATATCAAGACAATCAAGACAACCTTTATTTATCCTATCTTTGCTCCTCTCATCTTCCCATAACCGTATCATCATCATCCCTCATAAGCTCCAAACCCTTACTCTTTTCTGTAGCTCAGGATGCTATATAAGCTTCAATCATCTGACATTTCTTTGAGGATTATATTTTGTGAGACTCTCATGCATACATACGTACATAATTAAATATAGGTGTTCTTCCCTGTTAGTCTGTCTTAGGTCACTTTAGTTTGTAGCTCAGCCCAGGAACTTAGAAGGGTGGAGGGAAGACTTTTTTGCTCCCCTACACATGCATAATCAGTGAAAAGAAACAAAGCTAAGGTTAAGAATTGTTAGGAGTCAAACCTCCAGTTGATCTTTCTTGGTTGATAAGGTTCATGACACGTGAGTCTTTTTGGAAGATCCACCTTTAGGCAGATGAGGAGATGTGAGAGAAAACCTGCCTGCTCGCTGTTCTCCAAGTGTTCTAAAGTTCAAAGTCATCAGCATACCAAAATTTCATATTTTGAGGTCACATTTCCTGAATTTCTTCACATGTGTATTGCAAAGGTTAAGACATTTATTTAATAGTCTGCATTTTATCAAATGTATATTCCTTAAATGGCTTTCAATAGTTTTCATGGTTCATATATATCCTGTGTATAAAAAGATAACTAAATTCATACATCATAAGCTCATTAATACTATTCCTTACCATCCCCATTTTTAAAGATGATCTCATTGTTCTGAAACAGTAACTCTGACATGATGTCTGGGTTCTCCCAATTCAACCACAGTGGCCTTTTTGCAGAAGACATAATTCGACACTCTTCAAGCCTTTAAAATAGTTAAAAACTTTACTAGGCACCTCAGCTTTGTTATTCTTTTTACCCTCAAATTTACTTAACAGTTGTAAACATGTTATAAAATTTAAAATATTAAAATTTTTTTATTAGTACGTGTTTGCAGTACATAATGCTTACATTCATTGTGAGGAGCTGGAACATGCACACAACACATTTTAATTCTTTTTACTTCCCCTTTTCCTCCCCTCCTTCTGCCTTTTGGTCCTCTTCCCCCAAAAATCTATTTCCCTGTTTCTTATTATCTATGAATAAAGTTATAAAAATTTTAAACTCAATTTTTATCTATGAATTCAATTCTAAGAAGTACTGTATAAATATTAAGCTTTAACATCTTTATATAAATCATGAATTTTCAACAAATAACATATGTTATACTCCATTTCCTTTATATGACACCAAATATTCCAACCATTGAAGGTTTTAAACTCTTATTAAAGTAATAAAAACTCATTCTGAATAAATGTATTTCTAATTTAAGACCATTTTACTATTCCTATTTTGCACGGTAGGAGAATGGGAAAGGGAAGCACAGATAATTGGACTATCATATGGGACATTTTTATTCTTCTCAAGATTTTATCCAGAAAAGTGCTTATTTAAATATATCAATAAAACTCCCAAGAAAGTACCTTACCTGAGATTTCCTAGTTGATGAGCAGGGTTTAGAGGAGATAGAAAGCCCTGTAGAGCATCCATGAAATCTGGTTGCCTCATCTGCTCAACTAAAAACTTCATCTGTACCTGATAAAAAAGCATATTCAAAATTAGAAATTGATTTTGCAAAAGGTAAACTAACTGCTAATCTCTTACACACCGAAAACTCAGTACTGTGTAGTCTGATCCATACCTTGAACTAGCTGCATTCTAAGGAGGAGGGTTTGTATGAGACAGAGCAGCCTGACGCAGAGACACAGGAAGAGTGGCAGCAGTGCACCTTCCCTTGAGAAGAACTCGACTTGCTGACAGAGGCAAAGCTTTGACTCTAGAGCAGGGGTGGTGAATCCTGGCTTGCTGCCAATTTTTGTAAATCAAATTGCCTTAGAAAGGGCCGGGGATTTAGCTCAGTGGTGCCTCCGCCTGTTACGCAAGCGGAAGGACTGGAGTTCGATCCCCGGTACCAAAAAAACAAAACAAAACAAAACAAAAATTGCCTTAGAATACAGCCATGCGCATTCATCACATACTGGCTGCTTTCACACTAGGATAGCAGAGTTGAATAGTTAAGACCACATGGCCTGCAAAATCTAAAATATTTACATTTGGCCCTTTAAAAATCAAATTGCTTATCTTAGTTCTAGAGGAAAAACTAAAGAGACCATGTTATCTTAGTTTAATATTTTTGCTTCCTGGCTTTGTAGAAAACATTATATTCATGCTCTCTGTTGGATAAAAAAGGTCTAGTGAGGCAAAAAGAATCTGTTGGGAAAAAAAGCTGTAAAAATATTTGCTATATGGATCTCATACTATATCTCGTTTGTAACCACAAAGAAGTTTTTTGTTTTTTTGAGACAGAGTGTCACTATGAAGTTCAGGCTGGCCTTGAACTCACTATGTAGCCTAGGATGGCCTTCAACTCATGGCATTCCTCCTGCCTCAACCTTCCCAGTGCTGGGATTACGGGTGAGTAGCACCATGCATGGCAAAATATCCTTTTTTTTTGGTACTGGGGATCCAACTTGGGTCCTTGCGGTTGCTCAGCAGGCAGTGAAACCACTTAGCTAAATCCCCGGCCCAAAATATCCTTTTTTAATAAAATCAAACCAGAGACCAGACTGCTGAGTTAACAAGCAGTATCTGGCAGTTTATTCCAGGAAACTTCGATTAATTAAAAATACAAAATGTGAGTATTAAAAAAAAAAAGTTAGAAACTAGGGATACATAATAAATTTTCATGCTGGAATTTTAGTAATAAAAATTTTTTTCTTCTTACGACATGTAAGTTAATAGCTAGGAAATCTAGTCATCACTATGCAGCTCTTACTCAGGTAAAGGCACTTCATTTACCACTGTCAACTGTAATGTCAGCATAATGCTTCACATCCTTTATCATTATTATGATAAAACACAGAAGCATTCAAAATAACTGCATTTGTTTCTGTAACTGCAATTTTAGGTCCTTACCACAATTTCATTTAAACCAATAATGACATGAGTAATGAATGTCATGTTTCTAATTAAACCATTTTATCATAGCCAATTTGTGATATAAAAACTAGCACAAAATACACATCTGTTTACAAATATGTCTAATACCTAGTTTCTTTTTTCTCAGTTCAGTTACACTATAAATGTAATAAATTTTATTCTTTTGAAGGAGCTTAGTACCCTCCAGCCCATTCCAGCTTCAGTAATAGTATTTTCTATTTTCTAGTATTCCATATTTGAATTTATTTACCACAACTTCAATGAAACCAATTCAGTCACATACTCTATGATATTAAGATTAATGGAGCAACTTTCTTTTAGATAAATATAGCAATTTTCTTTTAAAGTTGCTTTTTCCTTCCAGTAGTACTAATGATGATGATGGAAAAAGCCATTTAGTGCTGGCAATTTCTATTCTCAGCCCTTTGAGTACTCACTAATAAACTGGAATTTCTTCCCTCTCATTTCATCAGAGGTGAGAAATGACCTTTTCACTATAAAATGTGTTAAATGTAGGATTTGGTAGATTAGACTGAATAAAGGACAGGGAGTAGGAAAAAGTCATGAAAAAACTTTACATTTCGTATTGGTTAGGTAGAATGCAGATGATTAGAGTGTGTGATATATTTACTGAGTGACTATGAGTCCATTTTAAACTTAGAAATGTAAAAGCTCACTTCTTTCCACTCATTTTCAGGGTCACTACTAAGATAATAAATGAATGACTGAGGAAAGAATCATTTTAAATACTTAAGAGCTATATAAAAAGAAAAAAGGAAAGTACAAGTACTTATATTTACCAGGCATTTCTCACACTCTAGGGACTCTACATAGTTTATATAATTTAGTTCTCACAACAACTGTATGATGAAAATATTATTCTCATTTCACAGGTGAGGAAAATGAATCTTTAGAGCAAAACAGTGTATCTGACATTACACAGCTACACCTGAATCCAGTGGAACTTGGGTCCAAATCTTAATCAGCTTGAGTCCAAGAACCATAATCTGTACATTGGGTTTCTAAACAACCCTGTCCCACTGCAATAAAAAGAGTCTCAAAAACAAACTGAACAGCCACACACCTTTTGTGTCTCATCCTTCTTTTCCTGCTTGAGAATGTCAGTTAAGTTAATGAGCTTTTCCATAGCTTCAACTTGCCTATTCAGGTGCTTCAGATACATCCCACAGGCACGACAATAGGATTCCAAAAGCAGACCGAATCTTTGACTAACTGTTTTATTATGCATCTCAGATCTGAAAGAGCAGTACAGGGTTTAAACATAGATACATGGATATACATGCACACAAAGATATATACCTATATAAACATATATGAGTGTTTATACAATCTTTTTTAAAGAAACTCAGAAAATCCATTTTAAAAATCCAATAAATGTTGCAACTATACTAAGAATAAAATGATTCAAAATCTACCATTTGGAAGAAAATAAGGTAGTTCCTGGACATGTAAATTTAACAGACAATCTATTCTAACTATGTTTTATTCACTAATCTCAGTACAAGGTACAAAAATATGTAAAAAGTAAACTGGACAGAAAAATAAAATATATATGGGAGGGAGCAAAGAGCTTAATGAATACTCCCTGATATACATGTTGATACTTTATTATCTCTAAATTTATTTTAAATCTAGCTTCTAGGTCTCATTTTTTATTTTTAATGTTAAAATTTAAAAAGTCCTATTAGATACAATCCATTTCTAAATTAATTAAAAAGTACATGGCTTATGATCTCTAATTTTCAGTATGAAATATACTATATTCTAGAAATATTATTCTTAATTACCTTGTTTTCTGGTAGGAAACAGGATTTTGCCATTATTGTTCTGAATTCCAAGGTTAAAATTTTATTTATATTGGGTATTTTAATCTAAAAAATACACTGAGACCTATATTTACATTAATTTGCGCCTAGCAAATTTTTACTTAGCTTAAAGTCAATCAAATCTTTAAAAGTATTTTTTTTCAGCTCTCACTCATGTTTAAAATTTAGGGTTTTTTTTGTTGTTGTTGAAACAGGGTCTCACTATGTAGCCTAGGCTGGCCTCAAACTTTGTGAACCCCCCCATCTCAGCTTCCCAAGTGCTGGGATTATAGGTATTAAAATTCAGTTTTGACTTTTACTTCACATTTAATTTCAAAGAGAAAAAAATATAGGAGCTCATCACTGGTGCAATATATTTTCAATATGGAAAATTATTTCGGCCAAACTAAAACAAAGTACATAATACATATTTGTACATTTATTAAGAAAGCAAGTGATATATATATACACACACACACACATATCTCTCTAAGGAATTTAGTGGGGGGTAGATACTTGACTTACTTTAAATGCCAAAAGAAAAAGTGTCCAATCCTTTGATTTGTTAGTGCTTTCTTGAGTAAAAATCTCACAAGCAGATTATCCAAATATTGTTCATATTTTAGGACCTAGTTGATTAAAAGAACAAAAAAATAAATTAGGGTCTATTTCTGTAAGAAAATGAAGAAAAATTTTCAGAAACAAAGTTTAAAAAAAACAACTGCTTAAGTTAGTAAAATACATCTTGGAAATTACATATATTTGGAATAAAATATTACTTTCTATTTTACATTATTTTACCTGTACTAGCTGAATTAGGTACTGAGAAAGCTTGTCATCTGTCAAATATTTTTCCAAGCATCGAACAGCAAAACCTCGAACCATAGGATCTGGGTAATTACAGTCCAGAAGCTCCATTGCCTGCTCAGGTTTGATTGGGGGCCAATCTTTTACTAAGCAGTACATCTGTGTATGAGAAAGAAAAAAATCGTATTTACAATGCAAGAATAATTGTGAATGAATGCTCTAATTGATTTTTTACTTCTGATTTTAAAATTAATTTAGATTTTTAAAGAACTCCTTAAAATTTAGTCCTAGTGAGTTTTATCTATAGCAATGACACGAATGGCATTTTTCTCTACTGTATTACCACAATTAACAGTCTATTTCATCTCTTAAATTTATGCACATTTTCTGAGAGAAAACGATGTAGGTGACATACTAGTTTTGTGCAACATTTATTCAGGAATCTGAGCCATGCATTTACCTGAGCTACTTCATCTCTAGAATTCCATTTAACGGACAGAAGCAATTTAGGTAGAATTTCAGGGATAGTTACACAATAGTGTCTGTTGGAAAAAACAAAGGAAAAAATACTTCCATGTTATTCAAAAGGTCTAGATGTTTAACTCTTCAGCTATGCATTCTTTTTTTTTGTTGTGGTACCGGGGTGTGCTTGCAGGGCAGGTGCCGGAATCACTGAGCTAAATCCCTGGTCCTCATCTATGCATTATTTAAGAAGCCCCAAAGTTCTTATCATTACTAGCTTTTTTTAAAAATAAAAAGGAATCAGTATTTAACAATATAGTTGACTTAGAATTAAGTATATATGGCAAAGAAAACAAGTGGAAATCCAAGTGGTGAATACTTAAATTTAGTTGACAGTTAAGAAAAATCATGAATATATATTATGCCACTCTTCAGATTGCTCAGATTGTTATGCAACTAGAACCACAGAGTCACGATGTTTACTGAGGTTACTGAACAAAACATGTTTTAATAGGCTTTCTGCAGAAATGTACGAAACTGCTTCATTAAATATATCAATGTTAGTTACAAGTAGCAGGATAATTTTTGCCTAAGTGAAAATAAGGTGTTTCCCTATTATTTTGAGGAAGTTTAAGAAAAAAAGAAAAATGGAAGACACCAGAAAATTATTAGACCAACAAAATAATAACTATTTGGTCTAGAGTTACATGGGTTTTTTTCCTCTTGAATTTTACTTTGAAAAATCCTAAGAAAATCCTATCGGAATTTTTAAAAGCCTTCAGGGGGTAGGGGTATAGTGAGTGAGTGGTTAGCATGCCAAAGGCTTTAGGATTCAATCCCCAGTGCCAATGAAAACATGTAAAAAGTGGGAGTGGTGACACACCTGTAATCCCAGCACTTTGGGAGGGTGAGGCAGGAAGATTGCAAATTCAAGCCCAGCATGGGGAACTGAGCTGAATTTTGTCTCAAAACAAAACATAAAATATGGCTGGGACTATAGCTCAGTCTGAAAGCCACTGGTTCAATCCCCAGTACTGGAGTAGGGGAGGGGGGGGATTAAAGCTTTCATTGCATAAAGGAAGTATCAACATAGCACATTTTTCTAGAAATATAAATCTATATCTATAGTTTTAAGAAAGTCAATAAAAATTATGTAAATTATGCCTTATTTACCATGCTAGGTACAGTAAAAATACGGCATGCTCAATCAAGGTCAGTTATTTTTCTATCATAAAAGAAAAAATGAGACTCCATCTTAACACATACCTGTGGCTCCACAGAAAATCTTTCTCTTGCTCAGTGATTTCAGACAGAGGGTCTCGTGTACAAATTGCTCGGAGCTGTTCTTTGTCATTTTCTCTTAATTCATTGTCTCTAGCTAGTCTGTTACTCTATAAAATAAAGTATATCTACATGGGTTTCTTTGAATATACCTTCTCCTAGATTCATGAATGATCTACAAGAAAAAAATCATTAATTTTCAACAAACTTCACATTTCTTATTAACTGTTATAAAATATTCTCATCTTAAGACTTCATTTTTAGGGACAGGTAAGAACCAATTTAAGGATAATACGTGTGGAACAAATCTGATTACTTACTTGGCTAATGTTACTCTCAACCACAGTTAAAACAGTAACTGCCAAAGTTAAGTCAGGGAGAAGGCCAGACTGGGATACTAGGGGATGGTAGTGAAACACTCTTCCTCTTGTAAGGTCCCTTCCTAGTATCCTATTAACTAACCTGCCAATATTTCTGCTACAAAAGAATGAGAAACAGTAAAGTAATAAAATAAAAACTTAAACTTTTATGTTCTGTGCTTGAATTCAACTTGTAACTGCTGTGAGGCTTTCAAATTTAAAAGTAAAAACACGCAGGAGAAAAAAAGGAGATGGGATACCCCATTAAAACACTGTACCATGAGCATGGTACTGGCAAAGAAACAGACCCGAGGATCAGTGGAGCAGATTAGAAGATGCAGAACCAACTCCAGACACACTCAGCCACCTCATCTTTGACAAAGGAGCCAACCACTATCATTGGAGGAAAGATAGCCTATTTAATAAATGGTGTTGGAAAAAC